CCCCAAAACCCCAAAACCCCAAAACCCCAAAACCCCAATAAGTTTAAATAATATTTATTATTCTCTTTTCAAAAGGCTCCAAACTTTTAACATTTGACTGAAATCCAGCGGGTTGTCAGACTTTACCATTTGATAAAGCTGGACCATTGCCAGCATTATTTTCATTTTCCTCATAACTGCAGCTTTTTCTCCTTTGAAATACTTTCTGTCTTGACTTGGTCAGGATGTAGAAACTTCCTTCTCCTTTTCGGAATCTGATGAACTACTGATTCTACTAATGTCTTGAAATTGGATTGAAATATCATTATGAGTATTCCTGACAGTTTTAGATATGAAATGCGGCTCTTGACCTTGGCCAATCCCATCTTGTTTAAATGCGTAAAGATCTGAATCATTTTCAGTTTCTTCATTGCATTGACTAAATTTACTTTCTTCTTCCAGATTTCTCATCAATGCTGAAAATCCTTGGAGAAGACTTGGGTCGAAGTCACTCATTTTTAATAATAGCGTGTCATCACCTATTAATAAGACCTTAAATTCTTACTTTGTTGCATCTCTTGTTCTTTCATGTAAAAATGCTTTTGAAGCAATTGCCTCACTTGGCTTCTTTTAGGATCATGGGTTGGATTAGTACTCTTCATTCCGATCTTACCTCCTTGAGGAGAGAGCAGATTATTCTGAAGCACGTTAAAAATCCTATTAACCTCCTTGGATCCTGTAAAGAAGCACCTTTTCTCTTCTTTTGGGCCTTTTAGATTTCTTGGACCCTTTCCAACATATACATTTTGTTGAAACTTTGGATCTTTTAATAAATTTCTGTTGTTCTTGGGTTTGTTCGACATGTTTGACATCGTACTATCTCCTTTAGGTTCTTGAGAATGCCCCTTTTTAACCACGTCACTGAACAGATCGATTGCTTTAGTCTTCGGAGTAGCTCCATTACTTGAATCATTGCCTTTGTTATTCTTAATAAGTAAGGTTCTGTTCCTTTTAAGCTTCTTCATACTATATTCATGGGAATTTTCTTTAAAACATATTAAGTTTGTTTAATTTATTTTTCCTAACAGTTGTACACATCTCGTTCTTGTTATGTACAACATCATCTGAGAGTCTTCTGTAGTACCGGAATGAGCTCTTTTGGGCTTCAAACTTGTTCATAGCACAGTGTGTAGGTGAAGCTGGGATCTCTTCAACATGTTTCGCAAGTTTGGTTTTATACACCTTATTTTTAGGCAAGGATTTCATAAGCTGTGTTGATGAACCTGAAATAAATTTAGTATATTTCTTACCATTTACAGCGAAGCTAGCTCTGTTCTTCAGCATCGATTTGAAATCAGTCATTTTCTCTAAAAAGATTATCTTAAGACGATTACTTCTTGGCGGAGAGAAAGATGGCTTCTTCCCAAAGACGGTCCTTTTACCATTTTTAGTACTTTCTTTTCATATTTTCTATTTAAAGTTATACACCAGGTTTTAGACTCTGCAGGACTTACCTTAGTTACATCAAGCTTCACCTTATTTTTCAGTGGTTTGTTTCTAAATAAATTAATTTCAAAAATTTGCTCAAATTTTATTGTTAACAAAGGTCGAACTTGTAAAGAAATTTATGACTAAAATTTTAGCGTTTCTGCTCTCTAAATTCCTCAATTATTTGAAGAAGATAGATTGCTTTAGAATGTTCTGGAGAAATTTATCGTAAAAATTTTGAAGTACCTATTCCCATTATTTGCACCTGAGTTTTTAGTCAAATATTTAGAAGCATTGACAACAGTCTTAGATGGATTGTACTTCTCTATAGTATCTAGATGGAATGGTTAGTAAAAACAAAGCCTTAGCATGCATATTTTGGGGATTCCAACAAAGGGATTTTTTCTTTAAGAAAATTTAATAATTACATGTCTTCTAATACCGAGAGATACCCAAAGTGCTGAATATGGGCTGTAATAGAGATAGCGCTTATAAGGGGCTAGAAGTTATATAGAGCAAAGAGAAGATATTTATAGTGCAGCATTTCAATATTTCTTAGCTAGGGTAGTGAAAACTTTAAAGAGCCTGGTTAAAACTGCTAGTAAAAGAATCAACAGAGCTAGAAAAAGATGTTGTTATTTAACCAAATAATTCAAAAAGAGACTAGAACTTTTAGTTTCACTTACTTGGTTTACTTTGCTTATTTAGGTAGCTCTTAAGTTTGGTCTTATTTTTGGTATTTAGTGCCAATACTAACTCTACTTTTCTGGTTTGTTTGGCTCTCACTGTCATGTAAATTGATTTCCTTCCTCCACAAAGTTGAATTCCAAGTCTTTCTATTCATATTTACTAATATAAAAGATTAATAATTCGGGGTTTTGGGGTTTTGGGGTTTTGGGGTTTTGGGGTTTTGGGG